ACAGGTGGGCACGAAGCTCCGGGTCCGTCAGTTAGTCGGTGGCTTCCTTCAGGGGCCCGAAGGCGGCCCAGGCTACTCTTCTTCTCCTGTTAAGTTCTTCCCTCAAGTCGTTCTCCATGTTCATCGAACGTCCGAGATACACGTAGGAAGACGTCTCCATAATCGGGGTGCCTTCCAATTCCATTTCTGCATCTTCGCAAAGGGCGTTCTTCATGAACTGAGTCTTCTTCCGATTTATTCGCAGTCCGATCTTCTTCCCTACTTCGTTTAGTTCCTTCAGCATCGTCTCTGCTTCGGTGATACTGCTCGAGAAGAGAACGATGTCGTCCGCAAAACGAAGGTTGGACAGGAATCTCCCATCAACTCGTATGCCTCTCTCGTCCCAGTCCAGTGACTTCATCACCCACTGCAAGGCCGCGGTGAACAGCTTCGGCGAGATTGTGTCGCCTTGTCGGACCCCCTTCCCGATTGGTATGGTCAGGGGGCGATGGAATAGCTGCATCGTCGTTGTACAGTCCTTGTAGCAGTCGGCTAACGTCCTCACGTAGGCTGGGTCCACTCCTTGATCTACTAGCGCTGACAGGATGGCGTTGGTTTCGACGCTGTCGAAGGCTTTCTCGTAGTCGACGAAGGTTAGGACGAGAGGCAGTCGGTACTCCCGGCAGACTTCTATGACCCCCGAAACGGTCTGGATGTGGTCCATGCAGCTGAATCCTTTGCGAAATCCAGCTAGTTCTTGGGGTTGGGCTTCATCCAGTGTCCTTAATATGCGAGCGAGGATAATCTTCGTGAAAAGCTTGTACAGCACACTCAGCAAGCATATTGGACGATAGTTCCGAAGATCCTCCCGTTCACCCTTCTTGAAGAGAAGGACGGTTCTTGACGTTCTCCACTGGTCGGGAATCTTCTCCTTCTGAAGGTAAGATGTCAAATGCGACGCTAGAATCTCGTGTAGACGGTGTCCTCCGGCTCGCAGAAGTTCGACGGAAAGATGATCTGGTCCTGGAGCCGTGGACGTCTTCATGGTCTGTATCGCGATACGCACTTCAGCAGGTAGAATTCGTGGTGGTACTTCTCCAGTGGGAACAACGGGCATCTGCACGGGTGTTGATGAGCGGAAGAGGTTGGTGTAGAAGTTCTTCGCGATAGATTCCATCTTGTATCGGGAAGAAGTCGGAGTTCCGTCTTCGTTCAGTAGTGCAGCCAGCGGTACGTGATATTCGCAGAGGTCCCTTCGGCACTTCTTGAGACTTCGTCTTCTTTCTGCTGCTTCCAGTATCTTGGCTTGCCTGTACTTCCTGAGATCCTCTTGCAAAGCTGTTCTGCAACTGGTGTTGGCAATCAATCGCTCGAGATGAGTTGCATTCGGATCCTGCCTCAATGATCTTCTTCTTTCGAGCAATTCCTTGGTGGTCTTCGAGATGCGGTCCAAGTTCTTCTCAGAAGTCATTGAGGCGCATTCTCCGCAGGCTCGCAATCCTTTCAGAAGCCGGTCGTAGTCGTACGTTGCGTCATAAACGACTTCCTTCCTTCTCGCGGCACTATGACAGACTTTCTTTTCCAGCCTTCGGCTGAGTCGTATCTTCGCTCGAAGGAGGCGGTGATCGGAGCCACTACAGAAGGATGGAACTACAGAGACATCGAGTAAGCTCCACCTTCGGTTGGTGAGAATGTGGTCGATCTCCGCGTGGGTCGTTCCGTTGGGCGATTCCCATGTCCACCGGCGATGTTCCTTCTTCATAAAGATGGAATTTCCATGGAAAAGTCGTGCGGCGGAGAGAAGCCCAACAAGACGGTTGCCGTTTTCGTTCCGGAGCCCATATCCAAACTTCCCGATCCTATATTACTCTTCTAGTGGCATCCCGATCTTCGCGTTGAAGTCACCCACGACGAACTTATAGAAGGACTTCTCGTTGCGGACGACCTGCTCCACGTCTTCGTAAAAAGCATCTAGTTCTGATTCGTCAGCTGCTGATGTTGGAGAATAGCAGTTGATGATGCTGATGGTCTTCTGATGTGGAGGTCGTAGTCGTAGGATGCCTAGTCGAGGTGATAGGATCTCGTGCGAATCGACAAGATGGACGATAGATGGGTGGACGACAAAGCCGACGCCTCCCACGTTTCGTGATGGAACCTTTTCACCACGAATGATGAGGGTCCCATCACTCATCTGTCGCACGTCCTTCTTCCTGGACTTCGTTTCCTGCAGAGCAATGATGTGGTAGTTGATGTGCTCTGCAGCGTCGAGAAGAGCGTGGAGGTCGGCGTTTGTGGAGACTGTCCTGGCGTTGTAAGTGCGGAGCATGAGGCAGTCTCCATGGCGTGTCGTCCGGGCAGACGTGTCGTTTTTGTCCAATCCGAAAGGCGCCCTGAGTACCCTGACATCGTTCTTGCTACCACCCGGCGCCGTAGGCGGGATCCGATGTACAGGGTCTAAATCTTCTTGCTGTCTGAGTAATAAAATTTGTTCCCCTAGAAGAGGTGGCTTACTAGGCCTACTCTTGATTTTTGATTTCCACGGGGTGATCGCTGACCCCGGGCTTGGAGCGGAGAGGGACCGCCTAGCGACCAGAAGAAGCCAGACGGCGGAGAATCTGGCGCGGCCAGTTCTTAGCTAGGCATCCGGCCGAAACCGGAAACGTCGAACTCCTTCACAGCTTGGGAGGCCCTACCAGAGTATACACTCGGCTGTGCATCGCAGTTCGACACCCAGTGTCACCCCCACGCCACGATGAGGCGACCGACCATTGTGGGGGCCTGATTGTCTAAAAATACGAAATTCCATTTCCCACTAACAGACAAAAAAAGATATTCAGCAGCAGACAGCCTATAGTTTAACTTTACTCATCTCCATCGCGTCTGAAATTCGCGTTTCGTGAAAAAAATACTGCAATGCCATGCGTTGGCAGTAACGGCTGGATTGCTATCGTTCATCTTGCACCACACCCGTAATTCTCAGCTGTTCAGCTCAATGTTGAAAATCAAAGTTAATAGAAGTGATGACAAATGACAAATAATGACAATTAAAAAAATGGTTATTACACTCGCAGTTAGCATGCTCATTTACCGCCCTTACTAATCCCAACTCCTCGGCTAAGCGTTGATTGAACGAGGAAAGCGATTGTAACTTTCTGAACCGCTGCTGTTCGTGATTAGCTCTCACCTTTCTAGCAACTGACGGCGTCCCACCTCAAATTTTGCAAAAAGTCGACAAAGAACAACAGCAAAAGGTAATTTTACAAGCGGTCCCACACTTCCGGATCAGTGTGAGCGCAGCCTAAGCAGCACGCTCAACTAATTATCTGTACCAGGTTCTACTGCCCTAGCTCAAAGCTTGCTGAACCCTTAAATCTAATCGATCGATAACGCAAAGAAACCTGTGGCCGTAGATGCGATAGATGGAGAAATTTCTCTGACCCCCTTCACTTTGGGGCGGCAATCTGGCTGACTCCTTTTACTTGAGGTTGAGAATAGAATCAAGGCAGAATGGCAGAATAAAACAGCTATTACAGTAACACTTTTTGTTTGGAAAGGAAACGCCAGCTGCTCTTCTCCTCGACATCAAGACTGCAAGAGAGCATCGAAGCAACGGCCTTTTTGTTGAAAAACGCATGCTTGACTTCTGTCGCAGTCAAAGTGGCGTTGATAGCGATACATAATCAAAAATCAAAGGATGTCTGATTCTTTGAATAATTAACATCGTATCAATGAATACACATTGTCACAAGAGAAAGTTGAGCAAGAGTAGAAAATCTGGACTGGCCAATGATGGATACATGTTCTCTTACAAGAATCGTACCGTATCTCCTTTTCTAGAGACAATAAGAGCAAATAAAAAAGTAGTTGAATTATTCGTCTTTCAAGCCTTCGAATCATATATAAAGCTTCGAAGAAAACCTTCTTGTTTTCAAAAATAAAGCATAAAATTGCTACCCACAATTAGCTGATATCGTAGCTAGATAAAATTGCTCACTTCTCGCTTCATAGAAAAGCTAGGAAAAAAGATACGGTCCACTTCGACTTCCCGGTTCTTAGCTATCGAATGGTATACAAAGTGTTGGAGCATAAAGCTTTCCCGCCCAAAAAAGTTTTGTTCGGCTTTCCATAAAAGCCAAGCCATTAAGGAAGCGGGTGGAGCAAGCTAATAGTAAATATCTCCACCTCATTTCGGAAATCCACGAGTTTTTCCACTTAACAACTTATGTACCATAAGAAAGCTCACGAAACGGTGACTCGACGCAGGACGTCTCTTCTCCCCTCTACTCAGATATATATGGCATATTTTAGTAGTAAACATGTTTGTTTTTGTCAAGAGGTTCTTGCGTAAAGAATGGATGAAGATGTCTGATTATCCAACTGTATCTCAGATCAATCCTCGCCAGTAAATGTGGACCGTCTCTTTTTTTAAGCTTTCTTCTCCTTTTCAGAAATGAGCGCATACCGATTGCATAAAATCAGTTGACGCTGCAGCTAAGAAAATTTTATACATGAATACACAAGAGAGCTGGGGAAAAAAGACGATCTACATTTATTCTACATGTTTCACGCTTTTTAATGGTATGTCGATTGATGAGATATGAAGCTATTGAATCAAAAAAGTCTCTTCGATAACCTTTCAAAACCAAACCCTTGGGAAATTCAACATATTACCTCTGTACAGCTTTTCTCTCTTTGCACATCCCAGTCCCACTCGGGTGTAAGCTTGCGTTGCATTACCCCTCAAAGCTCATTTACCTCCGTTCACTTTTCTAGAGTGGAAATAACCGGAACTCCTATCACCTGGAGGGGACCCTGCACCCCCTATCGCACCTATGCCTGTGACACCCGCTCGGCCTCGAAGTGTGTGTGTGTGCTGTGTGTGCGTGTGTCCGTTGTGAGGATTACCCTTTTCATCGTTCGCGATCGGCATTGTCGATTCCCGTTTTTTTAGCGAACTTTGAGATGACAGCTGAAAATTGATGCGGGTGTAAGTGAACATGTAAGTCACGATGCCACCTATGTCATAGGTCTCTTCCATTAGAATACTGAGAGGCGATGTATATGTCAGATCTTGAACGCTCAAATCTTCTTTCTTCCTTCTTTTGCTGATGCCTGCACGTAAGGAAAATTTGCGGTTGCTCCGGTTGACCGCATGAGCCATCTTGATACAACGTGAAGGAGGCTAGGAGGAGCAAAAAACCGTGTACCTTCTCACTGCTATTCTATTGAGTGTAGTCAATATCAACAGTCCTGCCAAATTTGCGATACAGATAGCGCTCATTGCAAAGAATATCCGCTGAACTCGCTGTCGGGTACGTGAAGTTGCCGCGGAGCAAAAAGGTTGTTTTTCTTCAAGATCAGCGTTTTCCATCATCCAGAACACCGCGGCCGCTGAAGCAACTAGCTGAAAAAAACCTTGAAGTTCTCTTTTCAATCTGTAAGCAAGAGGAGGAATATCTACACAGAAAGCGCTTGCGACATAACCAAAATGTGGTCCCCATGAGGCATACGATCGATGTTTCCATAATGCCAGTGCTCTTTCCGCAACCACCATGAACTAAATAAAAGTTGCTGGTCTCAATAGCTGTCATAAATCGAGTAAACTAAACAAGCGTTCCACACTCACCTGAAATAGAACGAAGGACACCATGCATGTGTTGGACGGCGCTCTCAAGCAAAAACACAAGAGAGGTGAAATCCCAGCCTGACAATGATCCGACATTGTAAAGTAACGTACAATCTGAAGCGTCTGAAATTGGAAATGAAGTTTTGGTATTCCTCCTATCGAGGAACAAGTCTTCCAAGATCCCATTATCTTCGAGATTATCGTATAAAAACTCCATTGTTACTTTTCCGTTTTCTTTGTTGCAAGTGCATTTCTTAGTGAAATGTGGTTGGTATGTATACCAAGAGACTCCAAAATAACGTAATTACTTTTGGAAGCACTATGTTTCGCAGAGTATTTCTGCAGGAAGTCTTTGCAATATATGGTTAAACTTACTTGAAGAAATCCTAAAATGAGTGAATGTACGATGAAGAGTAGTACCATGGCAAGTACCAGAACCTGAAATAAAAGTTGAGAAATTGTGATCTGATTAAACAAAGAACGAGTGGCTGTGAAGGCGCTTTTGCTGATAAAGCAGAAAGCCCACCAAGGGTTCATCATTTCGTAGACATAAGCCAACAAAATTCTTTTTCTAAACGCCTTACATGTACTTGGCATCGTAGATTGATGACGGTTATATTAGATTGATGCAAAATTAACGCACGTTTTCTTATCTCTTTCAAGCACAGGTTTTTAAGTGAAACCATGTTTCTTGAAAACTTTATAAATATCTTGAAGGGCTTTCTTTTAGTTTCTTGCATGTGCCTTCGATTCCGTAAACGTTTGTCTTTTGTGAAGTTTTATGGTTCCAAATAGAAAAACTGAATCTAATCCATCCTTTTCACCTTCTTTGCTCTACATTTATAAATGACTGCTTGATTTTATCCGAAAAATATGAATAGCATTGCAAGCCTTATCCTGAACGCTGCTTCTCTACACATACTTAACAAGAAATCAAGAGTCGAGATATTACATACTTGCTGTCTTTGTGGCCATCCTGTTATGTTCAAAAATTTTGAGATAAGCGGTTGCAGAATTTTTATACCATACAGCAAACAGAAAACAGAAGAAAACTTGAGAAAACAGTAATTGCAGAACTAACACACTATGCAAGAAGAGTAGGTCTAGTATATTTGGTTGGAGAACGGCAGGGTTCTCCCACTGGCCAAAAGAGAGAAATCAAAAAATCTCATAGAAGGCACTTGCCGTACGCCAAAATGTCAAAAATGTTACTACTTTTGACTTTTTCTCTAATATCCTTTCCCAAAATACCAAAATTCTTTCCCGGACACCATCACTCAACCATCGGCTACACAATTACCACATTATGGCTATCCTATTAGTTATTGTAATCTTCAGATGGTTATGCTCGTCAAAGTAGAGCTGATTGAATTTTCTTTAACAATCTTAAAAGCACCGTCCACCCAAAATTTCCACCGCAAAGTTTTTGCCGTTTCGGGGCCTTCTCGTATCCCTGATTCCGAATATCAAGTCGAGAATCCGCAAAAACCCCGAAAATCCCAGTTTTCAAAACTTGCATGGCGAGTTCTCCGGAACGGTGATGGGTTGCGCACAGATGGGTGGGACGAACGTCACGCCCGCTTGAAGGGGAGAAGCCAACGTGGCGAATCCGTCATCTAGGCGATTTGCGAAGCAATTTTCTTGCTTCGCAAGCAACTTTTAGCAGCGCGAGTTGGGGATGTACACAGTTGGGGCCCCACTACTATCAGTCATCAAAATCTCATCGCCCCCATTTTGGGTGGGCGGTGCCTTTCAGCTAAAAATCTTCTTGTAATGGCTACAATTACGCTAGCATTTTATGCTGTACAGCTAGAGGTTTGCTCTTCGCAATATTTTTTACTGCGCTGAGGAAGGTGGCTTATGTAAAAGATTTATGTTGGCTTAAAGTTGGGTCATAATGAGCATGCATCATTTATGCATCAACCTATCTGTGACATTATTACAGCAGGACACTCGTAAGTTCGTGCACCGCATACCTTTGGTACATAGAGCCACGTAGTCCTGTGACCTTCACTTTAAGCGACATATGAGAACACAACCTTCACCAGACAAAAACAGGAATCATCCGGAGGGAAGCCCCGGATATAAAGATTATAACTGAACTAGCTGGCTTACCCGGCTCCGCCGTATGTTCCGAATAGAAAATTCCATTTCTTAACCGATCTAGACCAAACTTGGCACACATACACTTCGGGCCCCGGCGGGCGCCACAGTCCACTTTTCGTTATCGATCGATGCCGATTTTATCAATTTTTTGCAAAATTTGAGCTAGGGGGCTGAAATTTGGCGGAGGGGTGTAATCGAGCATGCTGATTACCCCCACGGGGGTGATCAGCATGCTCGATTACCCCCCGTGCCAACTCCCAGCCCCGTAGCTCGAATTTTGCAAAAAAAATCGATAAAATCGATATCGATCGATGACGAAAAGTGGCCTATGACACCCGCCGGGGCCCGATGTGTATGTGTGCCAAGTTTGGTCCGGATCGGTTCAGAAATGGACTTTTCTATTCGGAACATACGTACACAGAGACAGACATACAGATATACAGACATACAGACAGACAAACAGACATTCAGCTTTATATATAAGATTGGAATGAATGTAAATGAAACAAGTATAGTGATTGGTATCTGAAAACGAAAAACCGCGCTCAAATGTTCAGCATAAAGTCGCGAAATGCTGGTCTATCTCGTTACGAGTGCCTACAATGCTTGCGACGTTATCAGTGCTCCTGCCATGACGATCAGAATGATATATAATGTTGGGGTTTCGCTGAGCCCTTGCGGAGATCTACAAGCAGAGCCATGTCACCTCTGCTCTGATCTTTCTCCTATGTTCGTCTGTGTCAAATTAAACGTCTACTCCAAACCGGAGCGCAAGGCATTTAGCTCTAGAGCCCTTTTCTTCGTTATTCTGACCCCATTCTAGCAAACTTTATATCAAATTGAAGCTCTCCTGCTCAAGTCTCAAAACCCCATTGTCTAAGTTGAACTAGAACTCTGTAAATCCGTGTTTTTGAAAATCTCCTGTGTTTTCTTCAGTTTAGTTTTTTACATGCGATTTTTTCGTGCAGATCTTGCTTCTGTCTTTAATGTGGACAACATCTCAGAGCTTGGCTCTTCAATTCAGTTGTGATGAGATAATCGATTAAAAAAATTGACTTTTGATTCATAGCTCTTTATTGGAGTTATTAAGCAACAATTTTGGCCAAATTTGGAGGCAACTTTTCCGGAATTATGAGCAGAACAAAGCTGACAACGTCCCACAAAGTAAAATTACGAGAAGGGGGAGAAAATCCAAAGGACGCACCAAAAATTTGACCAGATTGGCTAGATTGGCTAGACATGGATTTCACTCAGTAAAAACAAAACGTTGCATCTAACTAATTCTATCTATCTTCATTTATTAGGTCGTGTAATAAGTTCTGTCCCATTTTTTGTTTTAGTTTTTTCTTGACAACATTAGCTATATTTGAGATAAAGTGTATATGCTTTTGAAAGCTATGAGTCTGCTCTGCAGGCTCATATGCATCGCTTTCCAACATAGCAGGAAATTGAAAAAGATTTTTATCATTGAAACAAAAAATCCAAAGAGTCGAAAAATCAATTTTCGACATCTTTTTCCTTCTAAATTTTTCTCGAATTTTATTGGTAAAACTTACTAAACAAGCTTGACAACAACCAAAACAATCTACTAGACTTGACACTTATTCCAACACTGTTTGTGCTCGTTCCCTTCCTTCCAACGGCTATTTAATGACATTTTTTCAAAAGTCGGCAAGTCAAGGCTTTGTCACGGCGATGTTCGCCGTCTCGCGTACCCAAACTGTGTGCCTCCCAAAATTGGAATTTTGAGTATTTAACCTACGAATTCGATAATTTTGAGCCACAAACCATCCTTTCCGTGTTTTCTGGATGATCCGCCTACTGTCTTCCTTCAGGATGCCTTCAGATGATGCCCAACACCAACGTTGAAAAGGCGTCAGAAAGAAGACTTTTCTAAAGTCTACAGAAATGATTTTTGAAAAGTTTCAGCACTTCTGAAGCGCAATAGAAGCTAGATTGCTTACGTGTAGCAAATTCTTCGAACTTACCTAGGCATTCTACTGATTAGGAGGGCGACGTAATGTAGTTGTCGAAAATGGACTTTTTCCCTGTTTGATTTCTCAGATTTGACGCAGTAAAACTTTTTTAAGTCATCTGATGTAGAAAACCGAGATGAAAGTTTTGGTAGAGAAGGCTTAGAGCTTTCAAATGCTTATAAACTATTTGCAGAATATCGCGCAAAATACTGAGAAAAAATCGAAAGAAAAAATGGGGCAGAACTCATTACACAACCTAATATGTTCCTCTTGAGAAACACCAACTGGAAACACGGTTGTTTTCTAAACAATTACAAAGAGAAACTAGCTTTTCTCGTTTTTTCCTGTTTTGTAGATTGCCTGTCGTGTAGCGAAAAGCTGCGAATCGAATTGCCGCCAAATGAAAGATTTCGAACCTATTGCAACGTTCTTTTAGCCAGTTCTCAAGGGTTTTTTTGCATTTGCTCTTTGTTTTGCATTTTTCTTTTCTTTCAAAACGACCTTCACTTTTTATGTGGGCAGTTATTCAAACAATTCTCACTTTTGAGGCCCTCTTGGACTGTCGAAGTGTGGTCGTAAGAGAGAAGGACACCCTATAAGGTTATGCGTGCAATTCCTTAAATTTCGAATTTTGATAAAACCAATATTCTGCTCTAACTGCGCAACCACATCCTACAAGGTCATACTACAGTACTAGTAGAATTGAACTAATTCCATTCCGTCTTTTTTTAGAGTATATTTCGGTTTATGACCAATGCTTATTCCAGATGATGAATCGCGTGCCGCTCATTATAGTTAACTTACGTTGTCACTAATCTGCAATAAGTGACAGTTTTAGCCAAAAAGAGTTTGTATTATCAATATGAGCAACGAAGGAGTCAATGAGCCCTCACATTTGTTAATGCCATTTGTTTGCCATTTGTACACGCGTTTCGAAATCCCGCACTGCAGTTTCGCGAAAATGACAAGAGCTATTGATTATTGAGCGCAGTTACATTTTGAATTTGACTTAAGTCCCGTTTATCCGCAGGTTCGTTGTAAGGCAACGAACCTTCCAGGGCAGGCAAATCTTTTGTTTTCTATACCCTAGACATAAGTGGGTCTTCCAAACAGGTGTCAAGCGTTTGATCCGACTGTCGCACCGGGGGGGGGGATGTAAAGGAGGCACCTACACTGGGGTGGGGGTCGTAAGAAGGAGGAGGAGTTTGGACAAAAAACCTTAGCTTAGAAGAAGGTTGAATAGCAAATAGTTGTTGTTTTCTACAACAAATTCATAGAATGCTGTGTAGTGTTGCATCAAATGAGAACGTGAGCAACATTTTTGGAAATATTTGCAAATTTAAAAATTCGCTCCAT